GATGGACCCCACGTTGCGTTTTATCTATTCATCTTGTCCCATGGACACTTGAAGCTGCGTTCCAAACAGTTTTGCCTATATTTATAATATGGGCAACATATAACAGCATACTAATAATCTATTCAAATCCTCTTCGTGATTGTCTTTCTGTTATTCTACATGGGTATAACTGCAGGTTGGCCCGTCTGGAAATTCTATTTTAATTTTGTGAAGGAACCCACCAATTAGCTTTTTTTCATATTTCTACCTGCAAACATTTACAACCGTTCACCACCATGTACCATAAGCCATTCTTGACCTTCTCTCCAATTCCCAGTGCATCTCCTTTTCTGTTAGTAGTTAATTATTTATCCTCATATTGTGTTAATCTCTTATTGTTGTTTTGATTTCACACCCTCATTTATTGTAAATGCCTTATTGAGAAATTCGCGTATCCTCTTTTTTCTTTTTTTTTTTCTTTTTTTTTTCGACGACAGGAAGTTCCGCTCTGTCCCACCAGGCTTGGCGTGGGGCATCGCTGGCCGGACTCTCTGCCTCACGTGCAACCGGCCCGCCCTCCTCAGGTTCCACCGCGCCATTCTCCTGCTCAGCCTCCCGAGTAGCTGGGACAACGGCGCCAGCAACGCTCGCCTGGCTAGTTTTTTTGGTATTTGTTTAAGTAGCAGACGGGGTTTCACTGTGTTAGCCAGGATGGCTCGATCTCCTGACCCTCGTGATCCAACCGTCTCGGCCTCACCAAAGGTGCTGGAGGATTACAGGGTGAGCGCTCCCGTGCCCTGGCTTTTTTTTTTTTTTTTGTTAGAGTGGAGTCTTGCCCTGTTGCCCGCGCTGGAGTGCAGTTGTGCAATCTCTGCTCACTGCAAGCTCCACCTCCCAGATTCAAGCCATTCTCCTGCCTCAGCCTCCCAAGTAGCTGCGACTATAGGCTTCCGCCACCATGCCCGGATACTCTTTTCATATTTTTAGTAGACACGGGGTTTCACTTTGTTAGCCAGGATGGTCTCGATCTCCTAACCTTGTGGTCTGCCCGCCTTGGCCTCCCAAAGTGCTGGGATTACAGGCGTGAGCCGCCATGCCCGGTCTCCACAGGGCACTTTGAATGTCCCTGTTTCTCAGGCTGTAGACGAATGGGTTCAGCATGGGGGTGACCACAGTGTACGTCACTGAAGCCACTGCAGCCTTTCTGAGGGAAGAGAACACACCGGAACTGAGGTACACGCCAAGGAATGTTCCATAAAATAAGCAAACAACTTCCAGGTGAGAGCCACAGGTGGAGAAGGCTTTATACTTCCCACCTAAAGATGGAACTCTCAAAGTAGAGGAGACAATTTTATAGTAAGAGAAAACAATACCTGAGATAGGAAAAAAATCCAAATATTACAACAAAAATATACATAATGATGTTATTGATGAAGGGGTCAGAACAGGCCAGGGTGAGGAGTTCAGAGGGATCACTGAAGAAATTGGAAATTTCCACATCCTCAAAGCAGGTAATTTGTAAGGCAATCAAATTGTGCATCTGGGAGTCCAACAGGCTAAGAAAAAAAGACACCAATATTAAGAAGCCACAGAGGCATGGGTTCATGATGACTGGGTAGTGCGGGGGGTGACAGATGGCCACAAACCAGTCATAGACAATCATGGTCAGCAGCATGTCATCCATACACCCAAAAATTATAAAGAAAGACACCTGTTTCAGGCAGCCTGCATAGGAGAGAACTGCTGTGAGCCTGGATGTCCACAATCATCTTGGGAATGATGGTGGAGGTGAAACCAATGTCAGCCAAGGACAGGTTGGAGAGGAAAAAGTATGTGGGGGTGTGGAGGTGGGAGTCAGAGCTGATGGCCAGGATGATGAGAAGGTTCCTCAGCATCATGACCAGGTACATGGACAGGAACAGCCCAGTGAGGATGGGCTGCAGTTCTTAATCATGCCTTTTTGCATGAAGTGCCTGCTCTCCACCAGCGAGGAGAGCAAAAGGCCAGTCTGACAGGCTTTTGTAGCCGCACTTGTGGCTCCTGAGAACTTTTCCAGCATCTAGGAAAAATGAGCTTGCATGAACGAATTGAAGGATGTTAAATGTGGGAGGGATTTTATGGCTGATCAAAGTGGCTCTCAGGTAAGGGAAGCTGAAAAGCAGATGGGGCAGGTAGATAATGAAGTCCAGCCATCTCCTGCCGAATTCTTCTCTGAAGTTACACCATCAAGCTGTCCTTCTGAGGTCAAAGCTGCTTCTCTCTGATGTCCAGCCATAGTTTCATCTACTGGCTGAGTCTGGGGTTTTTGTAGGCATAGGATGGGGTGGGGCAGGGCCATGGGTGGTTTAGGAAATGGTAATATTCAAGCAGGAAAATAGGGATATAAGTTCTCACTTTGGGCTGCAGTTTCAGAGTTTTTGGCTTGAAGATGGGGTTTTGCCTGGGAACTGCCCTTTTCTGCCTAGAATTTCTCCACCCTCTGTCCCTATCACCCTCAAGGCCCCACTCTTCCTGGGGTAATAGGGCCTGGTTATTTCTACACAATATGAGGATTCTCCAAAGAGCAGCCCTAGCTTTAGAGCTCCCCGTAGAGTTGGCAGAAACTTTCTCAGATCTGCATAAACATCTCTTGTGGTCTAAATTGCACCCCCCAAAGTTAATATAGTGAAGTCCTCACCCCCAATGTGATGACTGTCTTTGGATACAGGGTCCTTAGGGAGGTAATTAAAGTTTAACGAAATCATAAGGGTCAGGTCTTGATCTAATAGGACTGATATTCTTAGAAGAAGAAGAGACACCAGAGATATAAAACCAGCTATATTTAAATGTGTATTTTAATCACACTTCATCCAGTAGGAAAACAAATAAACACTGTTGATCTGTTCATGATCCAACACACAAACAACAAAAACCCACATGCAAACACATAGAAATAAAGTTAGTGAACAATCAATAGCTTAAGACTCCTGGGCCAGTGTGGGGTGGTTTACGCCTGTAATCCCAGCACTTTGGAGCGCGAGGTGGGCGGATCACGAGGTCAGGAGACCGAGACATCCTCGGGCTAACATGGTGAAACCCCCTCTGTACTAAAAATACAAAAAAAGTTAGCAGGGCGTGGTGGCGGGCGCCTGTAGTCCCAGCTACTTGGGAGGCTGAGGCAGGAGAATGGCGTGAAACCGGGAGGCGGGCTTGCACTGAGCCGAGATCGCGTCACTGCACTCCAGCCTGGGCGACAGAGCGGACTCCGTCTCAAAAAAAAAAAAAAAAAGAACTCTGTGCCACCATTGAGATACAAGCTACAGCAAATGCTTCAAATCCAAGTTCAGAACTTACTAATGGAGAATTAAGAAATGTTGGTACCAAGGACAACAATTTTTGGAACTGGTACCTAGGACGAGAAGCGCCATCAGGGGAAATTACTTGAGTCATAATTGTTTAACCTAACACCCCCATCGTTATCACAGTACTTCATTCACATTAGCAAAGATATGGAATCAACCTATTGTGCATCAATGGGGATCTGGGATTTATTTACAAAGTGGTACCTTAAAGAACTAGAAGGCTGGGCACAGTGGGTCGAGCGCCTGTAATCCAGCACTTTGAGGAGCTTGAGGTGGGTGGATCACCTGAGGTCAGGAGTTTCAAGACCAGCTGGCAACATGGTGAAACCCCGTCTCTACTAAAAATAAAAAATTAGCCGGGCATGGGTGATGGGCACCTGTTAAACCCAGCTACTCAGAGGCTGAGGCCAGAAGAATCACTGAATGCAGGAAGCAGAGGTTGCAGTGAGATGAGATTTGTGCCCACTGCACTCCGCAGCCTGGCAACAGGAGCAAGAGTCTGTCTCAAAAAAAAAAAAAAAAGAACGAAAGGTAGAACTACCTTTCAGTCCAGCAGTTCCACTACTGGGTATCTACCCACAGGAAACAAAGTCATTATGTGAAAAAGACACATACACGTGCATGTTTATAGCAACACAATTTGCAATTACAAAGGTATGGAACCAACCTAAGTGCCCATCAACCAATGATAAAGAAATGTGGTATATATACACCATGGAATACTACTCAGCCATAAAAAGGAACCAAATAATGTCTTTTGTAGCAACTTGGATGGAACTGGAGGCCATTACTCTAGGTGAAGTAACTTAGGAATGAAAAACCTGGGTTTCTCTGTATGGTCAACCAACATACATAAGATCCATATGAACATATCATATGTTCTCAGTTATAAGTGGGAGCTAAGCTGTGAGGACACAAAGGCATATGAACAATATAATTAACCTTGGGGACTTGAAGGGGTAAAAGTTGGGGGGGGAATGAGGAATAAGAGACTACATATTGGGTCCAGTGTACACTGCTTGGGTGATGGGTACACTAAAAAGTCAGAAGTCACCACTAAAGAACTTATCCATGTAACAAAAAACCACGTGTACCCCAAAAACTATTGACATAAAAATAAATTTTTTTAAAAAAGAAAACATGGTATATATCTATATTGATATCTATGTAGATATCTATATATACACAATGGAATACTACTCAGTCATGAAAAAGAATGAAATCATGTCTCTCACAGCAACATCAATGGGACTGGAAGCCATTCTTTTAAATAAGGTAGTAAAGAAAGAGAAAGTCAAATGCTGCATGATCTCACTTATAATTGGGAGCTAAACAATGTATATGCATGGGCATTATAACGGTATAATGGACACTGGAGACTGCAAAAGGTGAGAGGGGAGTGAGAGTTTAAAAATTGCCTTGGCCGGGCATGGCGGCTCACGCCTGTAATCCCAGCACTTTGGGAGGCCAAGGTGGGTGGATCACAATGTCAGGAGTTCGAGACCAGCCGGGCTAATATGGTGAAACCCCATCTCTACTAAAAGGCATGTGGTGGCGGGCGCCTGTAATCCCAGTTACTTGGGAGACTGAAGCAGGAGAATCACTTGAACCCGTGAGGCAGAGGTTGCAGTGAGCCGAGATCACTCCGCTGCACTCCAGACTGGGCGACAGAGTGAGACTCCGTCTCAAAAAAAAAAAAAGAAAAAAAAATTGCCTTGTGTTCACTATTTGGGTAATCAGTACTCCAAAAGCTCAGACTTCACCCTTATGCAAATGCATGTTAAGAAATCTGCATTTGTATCCTCAAAGTATAAAAAAAATTATTTTTTAATTTTAAAGAGTGAGAATTTCAAAATAAAACCTTTTTGCCATTGGTGCTCACAAAACTAGTTAGTCCTGGGGCCGAGGGATCCATCACAGACAAGGAGTTGCCCTCCTGAGGAGTCTCCCCAGGGCCCCCTTCACATCCTTGTTCCTCAGGCTGTAGATGAAGGGGTTCAACATGGGGGTGACCACCGTGTACATCACCGAGGCCACGGAGATGTTCTGGGAAGAATGAGTCACCGCAGAAGTGAAATGGACCCCAATGCCTGTCCCATAAAATAAAGAAACGACGGAGAGGTGAGAGCCACAGGTAGAAAGTGCTTTCTCTTTTCCGCCAGATGAGGACATCTTCCTTATGGATGAAGCGATTCGTGAATAAGAGAAAATGATCCCAAGGAGGGGAAAAACGCCCAGCACACCCGTCATAACATATATCAACGTGCTGTTCAGGAAGGTATCAGAGCAGGCCAGCTGGAGGATGTGTGTCAGTTCGCAGAAAAAATGTGGAATTTCAAAATCTTTACAGAAGGTTAGATGCGTCATCAGAGAAATATGGAGGAGGGATGTCATGACACCAATGAGCCACGTGACAAAAACCAGGAGGCCACAGAGGCGGGGGTTCATGATGGTTATATAGTGCAGGGGGTGGCAGACGGCCACAAACCGGTCATAGGCCATCACGGTCAGGAGTAGTGTGTCCAGAATAGGAAAAAACATGGAGAAGTAGACCTGGGTGAGGCAGTCCATGTAAGAGATGGTTTTGCTCTTGGTCTGGATGTTCACCAGCATCTTGGGGACGATGCAGGTGCTGAAACAGATGTCAACCCAGGACAGGTTGGAGAGGAAGAAGTACATGGGGGTGTGGAGGTGGGAGTCAGAGCTGATGGCCAGGATGATGAGCAGGTTTCCCAGCACCGTGACCAGGTACATGGACAGGAACAGCCCAAATATGAACGGCTGCAGTTCTGGATCCTCAGAGAGTCCGAGAAGGATAAACTCTAAAAATCCTGTTTGGTTTTCTGCTTCCATGTAGCTGATGTATCTACAAAACAAGAGGTAATTAGTCAGGCGTGGTGGTGGACACCTGTAGTCCCAGCTACTCGGGAGGCTGAGATGGGAGGATCACTTGAGCCCAGGAATTTGCAGCTGCACAGAACTATGTTTGCACCACTGCACTCCAGCCTGGGCGATAGAGGGAGACCTGTCTCAAAAAATAAAAATAAAAAATAAAATAAAAATAAAACTATGTATATATGTATTTATTTAAAAATATATATTTATTTAAAAATATATATATTTATTTATTTAAAAGGAAGCGGTAACAGAAACATCAGTTAGCATCCAACAGGCATCCTTCATATAATAGAAATGTTGTCCATACTATTGTGATTTATGAACTCATTTTGTCTGATCTTTCATACATAAGTGGAATTCTAAAAAATGAAGTCTCTCATCCCAACCACCCACATATTTAATTATTTAAAAATTAATTATATTCTGTATACTCAACATACACAATATAATACATGTTATGAGATACATATAAATAGTAAAATGGTTACTGTAGTGAAAGAAATAAACATATCCATCATCTCACATAGTTACCCATTTTCTTTATAGCAAGAACAGCTACAAGCTACTTATGTAGCATAAATCCCGAATACAACACACTGTTATTGATTATAATTCTCATGGGGTACACTGGATCTCTAGACTTGTTTATCCTATATATCTGCTACTTTGTATCCATTATTCTACATCTTTCTCATTTCCTCCCCCAGCCCCACCCCTCCTCTGGTAACCACTGTTTTATTCTCTCTTTATATTTGACTTAAAAAAAAATTCCACGTAGAAGTGAAAAAATGCAATATTTTTCTTTCTGCATCTGACTTATTTCACTTAACATAATGGCCTCCAGATTCATCCACATTGTGGCAAATGGAAAGATCTATTCCTATTTTATTATTCAGTGGAATAATATTCCATTGTGTAAAAATATATATGTGTACATACACACACACACACATATACACACACACATACATATATACACACACAATGGAATATATGTACACAATGAAATATATATACACACACAAATATATATGTACATATATATCACATATTCTTTATCCATTTGTCCATCAGTAGACACTGAGGCTGTTTCCATATCTTGACTTTTACAAGTAATGCTGCAATGAACATGAGCATGCAGATATCTTTACGAGTGGCAATTTCACTTTCTTTGGATACACACCCAGAGGAGGGATTACTGGATCATATTTAATTTCTTGTTGCTTTAAATTTTTTATTTTTAATTTCTTCTTATTTTTGATGTCTTTTTTATTTTTATTTTTTGAGAAAGAGTCTTAACATTTTAATTTCTTTTTTCTTTTTATTTTTTGAGACGGATTATCTGTCGCCCAGGCTGGAGTGCAGCGGTGCGTCCTTGGCTCGCTGCAACCTCCGCCTCCCAAGTTTAAGTGATTCTTGTGCCTCAGCCTCCCGAGCAGCAGGGATTACAGGTATGTGCCACCACGCCTGGCTTTTTTTTTTTTTTTGAACGGAGTCTCGCTCTGGTCGCCCAGGCTGGAGTGCAGTGGCCGATCTCAGCTCTTGCAAGCTCCGCCTCCCGGGTTCACGCCATTTCCAGGCCTCAGCTCCGGTAGCTGGGATTACAGGCGCCTAGTTTTTTGTATTTTTTTAGTAGAAACGGGGTTTCACCGGGTTAGCCAGGATGGTCTCGAACTCCTGACCTTGTGATCTGCCCGTCTCGGCCTCCCAAAGTGCTGGGATTACAGGCTTGAGCCACCGCGCCCGGCCTATGCCTGGCTATTTTGTTTTGTTTTGTTTTTCTTTTTGTAGAGACAGGGTTTCACCTTGTTGACCAGGCTGGTCTTGAACACATAGCCTCAAGTGATCCAACGGCCATGGCCTCCCAAAGTGCTGGGATTACAGGAGTGAGCCACCACACCCGGCCTCTATGTTTAATTCCTTCAGGAACCCCCACACTATTTCCCATAATGGCTGCTCCAATCTACATTACCACCAACAGGGCACAAGGGGTTCCCTTTTCTCCGCACCCTTGCCAACTCTTGTCTTTTTAATAATAGTGAATAGTTAATAGTTAGCTAATAATAGAGCCAATTGTTAGCTAATAGGTAGTAATAGTTAATAATTCTAAGATCAGGCATGGTGGCTCACACCTGTAATACCAGCACTTTGGGAGGCTGAGGTGAAAAGACTGCTTGAGGCCAGGAATTCAACACCAGCCCAGGCAGCACAGTAACACTTGCTCTCTACAAAAAAATGAACAAAAGTATCTGGGCATGGTGGCATGTGCCTGTAGTCCCATCCACTCAGGAGACAGGCGGGAGGATCGCTTTGAGCCGCAGTGTTCGAGGCTGCAGTGAGCTGAGATTGTGCCACTGTACTCGAGACTAGGTGATAGGGCGAGACCCTATCTTTAAAAAACAAACAAACAAACAAACATGGATCTCCCGCGAGTCACAGAAAGCGGCTCTGACCCAGCGGAAGTAATTCTTCCCACTACCCCGGAAGCCACCCACGGGAGCAGGCAGCTGGGTTGAGGGGGCGGGGTGGGGGCGGCCCTGGAATAGGGGACCCAGCTGCGCTGGATGCGGGGCTGACGAGAAACTACTAAAGTTCCTGGGGAAGCAAAGTAGAATTTGGTAGGAACAAAATGGATGAAGAGAAGAAAACCTACGGTGGCTGCGAAGGCCCTGATGCCGTGTATGTCAAACTGGTATCACCTGAGGGCCATGAATTTACTGTAAACAAAGAACATGTATTAACATCAGGCACGATAAAAGCCATGCTGAGTGGTCCAGTTCAATTTGCTGAAAACGAAACCGATAAGGTCCATTTTAGAGAGAACCCTTCACATGTGCTATCAAAAGTATATGCATGTGGCCGGGCACGGTGGCTCACGCCTGTAATCCCAGCACTTTGGGAGGCCGAGGCCGGGGGATCACGAGGTCAGGAGATCGAGATCATCCCGGCTCACACAGTGAAACCCCGTCTCTACTAAAAAAAAAAAAAAATTAGCCGGGCTACTCAGAGGCTGAGGCAGGAGAATGGCGTGAACTTGGGAGGCGGAGCTTGCAGTGAGCAGAGATTGCACCACTGTACTCCAGCCTGGGCAACAGAGCAAGAAAAAAAAAAAAAAAAAAAAGAAGTACAAGGTTCACTAACAGCTCCACCGAGATTCCCGAATTCCCAATTGCACCTGAACTTGCACTAGAACTGCTGATGGCTGTGAACTTCCTAGATTGTTAAATAAAATAAATTATAATAAACTGTTAACTCTTTTCATTTAATACCTGCAGTTCAGTTAGTAATTTTTCATATGTAGCGTGTTGCCTGTATGCAGTTGAACTGTATGAAGTTCATTGCGAAGCAGATTATCTTCTGGTTTTGCATAGCAATCAAAGTTGAAATTTGTTTGCTACCTCAACAAATTAAGGACATTTTCACAAACTGAGAAATAAATATGCCAATTCGCAGGTAAAATAATAATAATAATTCTAACAGGTGTGAGGAAATATCTCATAGCTAACCACCCATATTAAATATCCATTTTATAACATCCCAAGCGAAATAGATTTCTAGAAAATGAACTCTCTAATCCCGACCATCTATTTTAACACTGATTTTATAGCACCCCTATTAGATGGTCAAGGAGATTCTTAATGGGACATGATAAACATGTGCTTTCTGATAGGATTCACTGGAAACAGCAAAACATCACTTCTGTGGGATTCCTGCCAAAGATGCAGAACTTTAAAGAGTAGAGAACATCACACAAACTGAGCTTGAGGGGCACAGTATCTCACTTGTGCTCTTTAAAATGTCAGTTCCACAAAATACAAAGAAATGCCAGGCATGGTGGTTTACACTTGTGATCCCAGCACTTTGAGAGGCTGTGGGAGGATCGTTTGAGCTTAGGAGTTTGAGGCCAGCCTAGGAAACATAGTGAAACCACTTCTCTACAAAAAATACAAAAATTAGCTGGGCATAGAGGCACATGCCCGTTGTCCCAGCTACTTGGGAGGCTGAGGCAGGAGAATTGCCTGAACCCAGGAGGTTGAGGCTACAATGAGCTATGATTGCACCACTGCACTCCAGCCTGGGTGACACAGCAAGAGCCCATCTCAAAAAAAAAAAAAAAAAAAAAGTCTAGGAAATGTTCCAGATTAAAGGAGGTAAAAAAGACATGTCAATCAAATGTAGTGAATGACTTGAGTCTTTCTTTTGCTATAGATGACATTATTGGGATAATTAAAATATAAATAAGAAGAAATAGAAAAATATATAAATGAGCTCTGTAAATTTTATAGTATTATATTAATGCTATATACTAATTACTAAATTAATAATACAGTATATAGCAAATAGTATATTATATACCTATAATACTATACATAATAGAGTATTAATGCCAATTTCCTGATTGTGATCATTGCACTGTAGTAATGTGAAACAATTTTTTTTTTTGACAGGGTCTGGGTCTGTCGCCCAGGCTGAAGTGCAGTGGCACAATCATAGCTCACTACAACCTCCACCTCCTGGGCTGAAGCAATCTTCCCACCTCAGCCTCCTGAGTAGCTGTGACTACAGGTGCTCACCACCACACCTGGCTAATTTTTGTATTTTTAACAGAGATGGGGTTTCACTATGTTAGCCAGGCTAGTCTCAAACTCCTGACCTCAGGTGATCCAGCCATCTCAGGCTCCTAAAGTGCTGGGATTACAGGCGTGAGTCACTGTGCCCGGCCAGCATTATTTTTTACTTAAATATTTAGACAAATACACCATGAAGCCTGATGAACTTGAAGTTTCTTTGTGGTAAGTCCAGATCACATTCTAGAAAATTTTACTTTATCCTGATATTCCCTAAGGCTTTGTACTCATCATGGAAAGCTGAATGAAGGTTAAAAAAAAAAATCACATGTAAGACCAACAAGAAATCTGCAAATTAATCTCATGTTGATGACAGATGCAAAAGCCTGAAAGGGGAGTG